CATTCAAATGAAAATTACTCTTAATTAAAAACACTTATTTATTGAGCAGTATGTAATAATTTCCTATTTAAAGTTCTTTCAGTAGTTTGAATTCTGAATATGAGCAGACTTTCCCTTTAACCCTCCCCCTGTCCTCCCACAGACGGGTGAAGATCCGGACCGAGCTCCGTCCATCTGGCGCTCCATGTACAGAGCCTTTGGCCGGCCGATCCTGCTCAGCAGCACCTTCCGGTACCTGGCGGACCTGCTGGGCTTCGCCGGGCCTCTCTGCATCTACGGCATAGTCCGCAACCTGGAGGTGCCGAAAAACTTCACATCGACCGACAAGAAAATGGTGAGCTCCGCTCCCTGCTGCTTGGCTTTAAAAGTCCTGGAACAGAACCGTTCAAATGGATCAGAACCAGAATCTGATCCTGTTCTGTTAAACTTGTTGGTTCCAATAAATACGGCAATACTTTGATCTAAATTAATAGGTTTAATTCAAATATAAGCCTGCATTAATAAACATATTAATTATATTTATTACAGAACTTTATTTATTTCTGTCTCCTTGAACCCCAGTCAGTCTCAGCAGATGGCCGCTCACACTGAGCCTGGTTCTACTGGAGGTTTCTTCCTGTTAAAAGGGAGTTTTTCCTCTCCACTGTCGCTACAAGCATGCTTAGTGTGAGGGATTGCTGAAGAGTCAATGAGACGAGGCAATCAACTGGTTTTCCTTAGATAGAAAACTTTGAATCAGTCTGACTGGATGATCTGGTTGAACTGTAAAGTGCCTTGAGATGACATGTGTTGTGAATTGGCGCTATAGACATAAAGTTAATTTAATTGAAAACACCACCAAGCACCAAACCTCCATCTGCTGTGTTCCATAATTTATGTTATAAAGAAAATTGGTTTGGAAAAATGTTTTTTTCTTCCTGTAATTGATTGTTTTTCATTACGTTTTTTTCTTATTTTGTTAAATTCTTTAAAATGCCAGAAATCTGCAGATAGCTTTACAGTTTTGGTTCTTTTAACACACCGATTTAATGTCAGATGTTGTTGAATACGTTTTTACTAAAAATAGGATGGATGATGGTTACTTTTCAGAGACCGCACCAATGCAAAAGCATGCACCAATGAATCCATAATAACAAGATTTCTGGAGAATAAATGTTTGAATATAAATAAACTGAATTGAATTGAAAATTGAATTGAAGTGAGAAGCCAAAAAGTTATTTAATCAAAATCAATCCTGTAACAAGAACAAAAAGCTAAATAACTGTGTCTGTTTGAGAGCATTTAGAGCGTAAAGAATAACGAATGGAATGTGTTCGGTTGATCTTGAAATGCCTGATATCCAGGTCACGCTCTGCACACGCTCCATGAGATATCAGTTTTACAAACAGAAGCAGTTTAGTGGATTTAATCATAGATCCA